TCCAAAACATGAGCAGCAAGAAACCAATTAGTGAGAAGTTTAAAGAAAAGAGCTGTAATTTGTTTCACACCTTCCCTTTAAATCAAAAGAGAAAAGCTGGACAGTGCAGTCCTTGGGGACAGAGCTGCTGTAATTACCTGTTTGACTCTGATTTATTGATTTCACAGAGGAGTTGCTGGACAGGCGGAGGGCAAGCGAAGACAACCGTCTGTCCTCTGTTCTTGTTACCTGAGGGGGAAAGAGACATCCTGACCTCACTGAAGCTGCCTTGTAGCAGAGCTTGTCATTCTGCCAACCCGAGTGTGGCTCTTCTTCTTCCTTTTTTTTTTTTTTTTCCTGGAGCAGACTCTCCAGTGAAGACGGGCATTTTAGATGCTGACAGCCGAGGGCAGTTTACGGTCCTCTTCTTCAGTCTGTCACCCATTTTTTTAAGGCCTCCCCGCCATCTCCTCATCCCTGGCGCGCTGAGGCTTCCAAAACTCAGAGGGGGTGTAAAGGAGAGCCACCATCACCATCGCTCTCCCTCTGACTGTCTAACGAGCTCCTCGATCTCTGACACCCAGCTCTGTCAGCCAGAACAAAGTCTGGGCTCTCACAGAGAGGCGAGCCCGCTGATGGCTCCGCCGAGGCTGGATGGGGGGGGAGTGTGAGCCGATAAGAGAGGGGAGAGGCTGGGTGCCTGTGCCAGATGGATTTATTTCCTGCCCTGACAGGTCACCCTTTTTTTTTTTCAGGTGAGCAGATGGATTTTCTAGCTCTTGAAGCTCAGTCCCAGCATTTTAATTGTGTGTGACAGGTCATCTCTGGAGTGTGCTTCAACCTAACATGTCAACTGGAGTGAGGAATCTTGCCGATGCGTAAACAAAAGCCTGCTCCTCAGCAGAATCTAACGACGCCGCTTCATTTCCTGTGCATCCGTCGTTAAGAAAGATACAGGGGAGGAAAAACTCAGAAACAGAAGGCTTGGATTTTATTCGGAAAATAATCCCAAAGCGAGATGAGGAATTAGTCCTCATCAGTGATTTTAACTACAGACTCCTGTGGTTTTATCTGCATCCACCACTGATGGAGTTTACACCAGATGGGCAAAGATTTATCTCCTGAAGATCACCCATCACATCAGCTGCTCATCCTGCCCCCTCACCCCGAACCACAGCTTGATTATTTAAAGCTGTAAATTAAGAACAGGCCAAGAAACAGCTGCTAATCCAAGACTGGGACAAAACTGAGGGTTAATCTTCTCTGTTAGCATCCAATATCAGGATGGTGGATAACTTAATTTAATCCTCTTTACTGTTTCAGGGTCTCCAGAATGTTAAATTAAACAAATCCCATATTAGTGGGATTTAAGAACAGCAGCAAGGTCATTACCAAGTCCCTGCTCTGAAATACTATGAGGCACAAATGATAAAATAGGAATTCTGTAAAGTTCAGCCTGGTTGAAAGATGTTTCAAAAGTTTAGCTTGCTTATTAAAAACAGAGCTGATTATTAGAAATTGTGGAGGCATCAAATTTTTTATGGTCATTTTTGTTTTATAACTAAACGTTCAGCGTTATTATACCAAAAATTAAATGGAGATGATCTTTATTTCTAAATTTAACAAGTGAGTGCTTTGACATGTAATGTTTGTTTGTGGCATTCGTTCATTTTCAGTCTGATATGCTCAAATTTGTAGCTAAACAGGTCATTAGTATGAAACTATTTGATTGGTTTAAATAACTTGAACAAAGCAGTTTTAACTTTTAATATGATGTTATGCGATGTCATGCAATGATATAAGAGTATGTGTGGAGGATCACTCTCCGTTACCACATCAAATTTTAACTCAATATCTGTAAAACTGACTAAGTTGTAGTCATTTTGGTGTTAGCTAATGTTGATCTGCTGWGACAGTCATCTTGATTTGAACTGACTTCAAAAGTTAATCAGTTGTTAATGTGCATCCAGTGATTACGTTTTAGAAGATTCATTAAAATTTATCCATTTGCTCGTGAGATATTTTGCTAACAGACAAACAGACTCATACAGTTAATGTTAAAGTTTTAAAGCAAGGTTGTACACAATGAGCAGCTCTTGAGGTATGTTTTGTGACTGACTCTCATCTACAATTTCACCAAATTTTAGGACAATTYATGCAACACTGATTGAGATGTTACCATTTTAGTGTCCTCTGAAGTCAGTTGACTGTGGCCGCCATCTTTAATCAAGTTGGCTCTAAAATGTAAACATTTGTAGAGGTACATCCAATAGTTGCTTTCTGTAASTTTCATTAAAATCCAACCAGTGTCTTGTGAATTATTTTGCTAACAGACAGACACGGTTGATTTTGAGTAGTTAATGGCAAAATTTGAAACAAAGATTTCATGCAATCTGTTAGTGTTTGTGGAATGTGTTGGAGACTTGTCTCAGATACWRCCACACCAAATTYAAACTCAATATCCAYAATTAACTGAGTTATAACCATTTTTGTGTTTTTTTTTTACAGATACATTTCAAAAAATAGCTCAAACTGTTTCTCAAAAATATTGTCCGTGGACAAATGTGACCCCTCCTGTTGTGACCCTTCAGGGTCTCTCTGATGGACCAGGTTTCATGCAGTATTAGAAAAAGACCCTGCTTCACGCCAAAGACCCATGAATGTGTCCTTGTGGAGCAGAGAATCTGATTAAGGTGCCCAGAATGCAGAGCTGCATCCTTTCAGGCAGCAGCTGTCTTTCCACTCATCACAGTTAATCAGTGACAGCACTCTGATTAAATGTCATCATGTTTTCCGTCTTCCCTCCTCATTTCCATCCACTAACCCTGTCACAGAAAGGAAAATCACTGTAAATATACTCCCAGGCACCTTGTCAGAGCCTCCTCTCTGCTTTTGCAAGCGTTCGTGGACAACAGGGGCGAAGAAATTATGCAGGCACGCTATAACAGGCGCCTCTTTTATCCTCCAAGGTGAAACTGCTGGAGGTCACAGACAGTGTTTYATGTGTAGCTCTGTGACTACACCGGCTGGACTAATTCAAACTCTTACATYTCAGAAAGCTCACCCCACCAGTGACATACACGTTCATTCATAACTTCCCCTGTATTATCTGTGGTGTAGTTCTTGCTTGCACAGTTACAGGCTGCGCATGAATAGCAGCTATTTAGAGCTGATCGCCTGTCGTGTCCATCTGCTGATGATATGTGTTTACAAGTTGGCTTTGGCACACATCCAGGAATCAATTCTGATCACCTCCTGCTGTTCACAGCTGCTGGTAATTACATTAAACACTGCTATAAATAAACACTTTGTTGCACAGGAGTTTCAATATCAAAACAGACCCTGACCTGTCAGTGAGAGGACCTACATAAACAGTTGTGCTCAAAAAACTAGACGAGCTCAGATTTTGAACCTGCTGGTTTTGATGGTTTCATTAAAAAGGAACAAGGCTGCCCTCTACTGTTGGTCAGAGGCAGAAAGAAGACGCCTCACTGGGGTTTTCTCTCTCCCTTTTTTTTAAATCAAAAACATCAAGAAGAAAATTGATTAAATTTATTTAGAAGTAAACAAAATATAGAAATAAAACATTTTATAAACTAAATTATTAAATAACAGCTATACAATATTAATGCAGAAATAATATGTTTCAGGACAAGAATTAGGAGGGCATTGTTAGATTAGAGCTGCTTTTAGGACCTTATTGACACATTTTTTTAAACCTGTGTTGGAATTTCTGGTCATAGAGTTTGCTGCATTCTGAACTTTAATGTAATATTTAAAGTTTAAAACACAGAAATCCTATCTGAAAGTCACTCTTTGCATCCTTTCATTGCTACACAAAGCACAACTTGGACTTCAACTGTTTTTTTACTCAAGAAAAAAGTTTTCATGACTGAAATTTTAAAGTGTAAAGGCAATTTTAAAATAAATAAAATAAAGGTTAAATTTAGACCAAATAACAAGCATCACTGACAAAATGCACAGAGTACGAATACTACATTAATGTTGCAGAATTCCAATAAAAAAACTGAAACTACACTTTTAAATAAAAAGATGAGGTTGAGTTTTGGGCTTGGCTGGGTTTAGCAGCTAACATTTAAGTTGGTGTTGGTTTTAGCTTAACTGGAGTCACTGAGGACCAGATGAATCATTGCTGATTAGACTAAAACAAATTCTGTCAGTTCATGTGTTTTTATCTTGTGTTTTTTTATGTCCTTCATCTTTCCTTTTTCTTTATTCCTCCATTGTCATACAAGGTCATGTGTTCCTACACAGGATTACTGTGACCCCCCTCAGGCAGTAAACAATGACCAATAACAGTTAAGGTCATGGACCACAACAACTAAATTATTTCAATTATTTGCGCGTGCACTTTTTTTTGGGGGGGTGGGGGGGTGGGGGGGGAGACATTTGAAAACCATTCATTCATTAAAATCAATGAAACTGTTTTGGTGCCATAAGCTAATGCACTAACAAGCCTTTTGGAAAATTCAGGCCTGTCCTCATCCTCCTTCAAAGCATTTTTCATTTTTATAGTAAAGTTGCATCATCACCCCCTTCTGGTTTAAACCCGTCAATGTAGTTCTTCTAGTTACAGTTCATGTTTTTAAATTAGTCCAGAGGCCCAGCCAAAAAAAAAAAAAAAAAAAAAATCATCCATTCAATTTAACAGAAATGTGTTTTTATTTTTCCGTTTTTATATACTTATTAAAGAAGCACATATTTCTTAAAGTTTATTACCTATTTTTTCTAGACACACAATAGCCACAGAGATGCTTAGCTATGGCCAAAGTTATAGCAAAATTGCCTAATACAATTTACGGTAACAACTCCCCGGTCTACGTATACTAATTTATTCAGTTGTGTAATTTTCTCATTCGGTTCTGCCTGACAGATGTTACTGAGGAAATACTGACCCATATTTGAACCAATCAGGGACGGCTACGACCCACAAAGTGTTTTGCTGTATTTTCAGCTAATAGGCGTCGCCCTTCATTGTAGCTGCGACCAATAAGAGATCAGAATATTCACCTGCCAACAGGAAGTGAATGATGTGTATGTTTTGTACACAGCTGTGCCGACGCAGAGAAAAATACCATCTGTTTGAAGATTTTAGCCGTTTCGGTGTTTATAAGGCTTTTTGTCGACAGTCACAGAAAGTTTTCTTGTAATATTTAGGAACCATTCAGGCTCTAGAAGTTACCGGTAACTGAGCTAACTTCAACCCGGCGGTGTTGTCATGTTCACGGCGTTTTCCCTCCCAGCCACCCTTCGGCTCTTCCAGCAGGGGTGGGAATAGATGGGGTCTGTTGGCGCCGAATGATGGCGGCTTTAACCCGGGATCATCATGGCTGCTGTGACGGAGTGGCGCTACTTCAGCGGCCGCCGCGTCCTCGGAGGATGGGGCCCGCTGCTGTGCGTGGCTTTCGGTTCTCTGGTGGGCCTCCTGCTGCCCCTGGTCGGTGTGGAGAATCAGTGCTGTGCCTCCCTGAGGGGCATCTCTCAGCTCCGCTGCCAGCTTTGGGGGCAATCCCAGCCGCCCCCGGCTGTGCAGTCCACCAGCCTCACTGTCCCCTTCACTGCCCTGGATGTACTGCCTCAGAAGTCCAAACCGACCCAAGGTACGAACAGGACAACTAAAAAAAGACAACAAACATAACTTTGTATAGAGCAGGATGAGTGATTTTTATTTTAAGTAATTTAGAAGCAAAAGAGGTCAACGTTGACAGCCTCCAATAATCAGTTCTGAACCTAAAATTATTTCATGTTTGTATTGGATCAGCTTGAGTTGAGAATGTATCCAGTAAAATGAGTAATGAAATAAAATTGGGGCAAGACAGACTGTTTCAGCATTTAGATTTAAGCCAATTCCACACATTTCTGTTATAAAGTTGCTATATTGTTTTGTTATATTGAAAAAATTATAATCAAACTTATTGAAATACCAATTTTAATGTAAATAGTTAGGATACTGGAGTATGTTTACTATAATACCATCATCACTGCATTGAAATAATTTCAGTTCCATTGACTTGTTTGAWATTTCAAGCTTCTCTGTCTTCTGTCTGAATGCAGAGATGGAGCTGGAGGCCAAAGCGGCCCTGCAGCAGGCTCTGGAGATGAGGAAACTTGGGAAGAGGGAGAAAGCTCACAAGCTGCTGGTGCATGCTCTTAGCATGAACCCGGACTTTGTGGATGCTCTGACGGAGCTGGGGACCATTCTGGAGGAGGAGAAGGACGTGGTTCAGGCGGACCATCTCTACACCAAAGCCCTGGCCATCTCTCCTTGTAACGAGCGAGCTCTGGTCAGCCGAGACCGAACTCTTCCCCTGGTGGAGGAGATCGACCAGCGTTACTTCAGCTTGATTGACAGTAAAGTGCGCAGGCTCATGTCCATCCCTAAAGGCAACTCTGCTCTCCGCCGGGTGATGGAGGAGACCTACTACCACCACATTTACCACACGGTCGCCATCGAGGGCARCACGCTCACTCTGTCCGAGATCCGTCACATCATCGAGACGCGCTACGCCGTCCCCGGCAAGAGCCTCCAGGAGCAGAACGAGGCCATCGGCGTGGACGCGGCCATGAAGTACATCAACACCACGCTGCTGTCCAGGTCGGGAGAAATCACCGTCAACGACATCCTGGAGATCCACCGACGGGTGCTCGGCTACGTGGACCCCGTAGAGGGGGGGAGACTGCGCACCAGCCAGGTGTTTGTGGGCCACCACATCCCGCCTCATCCCAAAGACCTGCAGCGACACATGCAGGAGCTCGTTCAGTGGCTCAACTCCGAGGAGGCCCTGCAGCTGCACCCGGTGGAGTACGCGGCTCTCGCCCACTACAAGCTGGTGTACGTGCACCCGTTCGTCGACGGCAACGGCCGCACGTCGCGGCTGCTCATGAACCTGGTGCTCATGCAGGCGAGCTACCCGCCCATTACCATCCGCAAAGAGCAAAGGGCCGAATATTACACCGCTCTGGACACAGCCAACGAGGGGGACGTCCGACCGTTTATTCGCTTCATAGCCAAATGTACAGAAATCACTTTGGACACTTTGTTGATTTCGACCACAGAGCATGCTGTGGGACTGCCAGGAGCGGACCGGGACCAGGCCTGTCCCAGCTGCAAACAGACCATACCGATCCATAAATAAACCAGGGGGTGGGAGGAATGCAGCATGCAAAGTTACAGTTAATTTTATTTAACACATTTTTATTGGCAAATCAACAAAAAAAGTGTTAAATCCCCGTCTGATGGTCGGATCCATCCAGATCATTCACTGCAAAAACTGTCCATCTTACCAAGTTTTAAAATCTTATATCAGCCAAAAAAGTCTTTTTGATCTTGTTTTGAGAGTGATTTACTAAACAAGAATAATAATCTTGTTTTCAAAATGAGTAAGATTATTTATCTTGTTAGTCTGAAAATCTGACTCAAGTCAAAAATTTCTGCCAATGCAGTAAGAAAATTTTACTTGGTAAGATTCTTGAAATAAGAAAAAATTAAGTCAAATCAAGTATTTCAAGAATCTTACCAAGTAAAAAATTCTTACTTCATTGGCAGAAATTTTTGACTGAATTTGAGACAAATTTTCAGGCTAACAAGACAAATAATCTTACACATTCTGAAAACAAGATGATTATTCTTACACAATCAGTTCTTGTTTAGTAAATCAGTCTCAAAACGTTCTGGCTGGATACAAGATTTTAAAACTTGGTTAGGTGGACATTTTTTGCGGTGCAGATGTCAGTTTGTCCTGATTTGCTGAAATCAGTAAAACTGCTGCCTGATGCTGAACTAAAAYCTGAATTTTGTTGTTTAGTTTTTTTAGCAGCAACTTTTTTTGCCTCTGATTTAAAAAAAGTTTTTGTTTGTAGCTTGTTATCWAGTGGAACGGTGTTTTTACTACTGACAAAAGAAAACAGGAACACATTGTTTGACTTCAGACGCCCCCCCATGAATTCCACTGAAGTGTTGTGTTAAACCGTCTTTAGGATAAACTGAACACTGTAAAGCACTTTGATGTATTTATTTTTTAAATAAATGCAGTTTAACTTTGTGTCTGACGTTTATGTGAAAACGCAAGAAAAAACACAATTTTACTAGACTTTATTAAAACAAGGGAGAGGGAAAAAAGGTTTCAGAACTCAAAATCACAAGGGCAGAAAATGGGACAAAACGGCTAAATAAATACTGAAAGCCTTTTTCATTTACTGACTTCTCAAAATGAACTTTAAAAATGATACAAAACAGTAACGCACACCAACTTTAACTGGGCATAAAACAAAATGATTTCTACAGACTAACATTTCTATCTAGTTTTAGGTTAGGGCACTGTGGTGAGAGCATTACATACCAACTGTTCTGAAACTTTTACTTATAAACTACAGTCCATTTAAAATCTGTATACTGAACATTATGTACAAGACTCAACACCTCATCCCCTGACATGAGGAAAAACCTGCATAGATTCTCTTCAACGTGTAGCAGGAGCTGCAAACCAACATTTAGCATCATGTCAGATAAGTCAGGGTAAAATAATCCCATTTATTCTGAAAACCAGAACTATCTTTAAGATTCGTTTTTAATTTTCTAGCAAATTAATATATAATAGCAGGGCTTTGTGTAAAATGATTTTATGGATTTATCTGAAGATACTTGTGTAAAAAATGCAAACTTGAGAAAAAGACTCCAGTTTATAGATGCTGGAAAAGATTCAGTTAAGAGATCTGAATCAAAAGGAATTTAAAAAATAGATTCAGTTAGCTGGAGCTYTACAGAACAAAGAGGATAGCAGAGTAAGAAACAACAAAAGCCATACATTTGTCATCTTAATATGTACTCTGAATTTCACAGGAAATGTTCATTAAGTCTCTTCTGAGTCAGAAAAAAAAACACATTCCTGAACTGACACCAGAGGTATAAAAAGTACTTGAAAGAAATAAGTAAAAATACCTCAACAAAAATGACTTTTGTAAAAGTACTTAAGTAAAAGTCATAAAACAGTAACAATAACCGGGAAAGTCAAAGTACTTTTACACTCTTAGAAAGGAAGTGTTGAATTTACCAAACTGGTTCCACTAAACCAAGTTGAGTAAATGGAGCAATTTACATACTTTCTTTAAAAACAAATATGTAAATTGTTTTACATTTACTCAACTCGGTAAAACCAGTTGACACAACTTGGTTAAGTAAATACAACACGTGCATTAACAACTCCTTTCATGATAGTCACATTTAAATTTGTAATGTGTAACTAGGTGTTAAATTGTAAAGTACAAAAGCGTAATTTTTTGCATTTGGAATTTAATAAAACAAGATGGTTACAGTAAAAAAAAACTTGGTAAAATTACAAACTAAAACAATTACTTAAGTACTATAACAAAGTCAATGTACTTACCGGTAATTACACACCTCTGACTGAGGCAGGAACAGTTAAATGACTCACACAAATGATAAAACCGTATTATTGGAACAATTTAGTATGAATAAAAAAAATGTTGGCAGCTCGTACAAAAAATAAATCCAGTTGACCAAAGTATCATTCAGCTGTAATCCTTAGTAACATAATGGTCATATATGGCAGATAATTTTAATTTTACCATGTAGAACTATAGAATCATGTCAAATAAACCTCATGGCTAGTCTGGTGTGGTGTGTCCTCAGATCTCTACATGTTACACAACAACAAAAAGAAAAAACTCCCTAATTCCATTAAAAGAGCCAGAGGACATGTTTTCATCACTGCAGCACATCCACATTATGTACACACAGCAACTATAATACACCAGATCAGAGCTTTTGCATATACACTTTTTTTAAAACAACATTCACAAGTTTGGCTGTTTTGAATATTAAAAGAAAAATACTCTTGTGTAATCGTCTGTTGGATCCCTTTAACAGCGCACAACAAAACTCAGAAAACATAAAGACCAACAACTTCCAGTATTTACACACAAATATGGTACAGTTTTTTTTTTTATATAAAACAACCTGTCACACTGGGAGTAAGTATTAGGGGGGTGATGGGGGGGCAGGAGGATGGCGGTTAAGGCAATCTTGCAGAACRGATCATGAGAAGAGTGTGACTGAGATTAAAGGTCCTGTCAGGTAAATGATGACATCACCAACACTAGTTTGTTGTAAGGACACAGGATGGCTTTCAGTGGGARGGCGGGGGCTCGTCTCCGCTCACTTGTTCAGAAGCATCTTGGCAAAGTCTGAATTTGACAAAGATCTGGACTCTCCGGCTGCCTGCTCCTCCGAGCTGACTGACGCAGACCCCCGCTCGGCCGCCGTCCCGTTCTCCACTTTGCCTGCGGGCGTGGTTTGACGATGAAGGGAGCGAGGAAGCAAAGACAGCTGAGTGCGACCTTTGCCTCTCCTGGGGAAGGAGGGGGAAAAAAGGGAGGGGAAATTAGAATTTTGTTACGTTTATGATCAAGTTTCACAGTGCAGAAGAAATGACGGTAGACTTACGCTCCATACACCTGGCGAGGCATCAAGTCTGCCGTGGCCCTGCTGGAACCAGCCTTCTCCATCGGGGTCCTACGTGGCGGGTTACTGATAGCAACAGAGATTTTGTTGCCCTCCACATCGATGCCATCCATTTTCTGCACTGCCTGAGACGCCTGTGCTTCATCTGCAAACTCAACATAGGCCAGACCCTGCAGAGACACACATTACAACTGATGGAGGGTACGAGGTGTCCATCATCACATCTTATTAATCGACTCATTTAGGTCAAATCCTCTGGCCACGCCCATCTTCTGCGTCTCACCTTAGGTTTTCCTGAGCGATACGTGACGAGGCGAACGTCCTTGATGGTGCCGTAACCTTTGCAGAGTTCCTCCAGCTGCTCTTTGGTGCAGGAGAACGGCAGCCCAGAGATGAAGATTTTGTGTCTTTCGATCGAAGTGTTGTATTTAAACACCTTAGAAAACAATATTAACAGCAGGTTATCACTCGTTTTATTAGAATTATTCAAAGGAAAGCTTGGTGAGACAGAGCTGTGATCTTATAAAAGTCTAGTTAGGTGTTACATCACTTGTTTACTCACCTTAAAGTCAGGATTTTTGTTTTTGTCCACACAAGGAGACACAAACATGGGCCTGCCCTCCACTTCCTGTCTGTCCAGTTTCAGAGCTTGGGGGACCGACGCTGCAGACTCAAACTGCACGTAGCCGTAACCTTTGAAGCTCCCTTTGTTGCTGAAGACGGGTCGAATCTGTTTGATGGGCCCGCAGCTCTCAAACAGAGCCTTCAGCTTCGCCTCGGGCTCCTCCAGGGTGTACGTCAGGTTGCTGATGAACACACTGGAGCCGTCGTCTCGCAGCTCTGGCCTGTCATCGTTCTGCCTCTGAGTGGGGGCCGCAGGACCCTGCTGGGGGGTTTTGGTGCCACCTGAAGCAGGTTTATATCCAGGAGGAGCATTCCTCCCAAAAAGTCCAGTCTCTGTCTCCATGTACTCGTCTGTAGCATTGTCACCATCTGGCTTGTGCCTTTTAGGAACTTTTAAATCACAGGAATAAAAAAAGAGAATTTAGTAAAACATACAAGCACTCCCTTTTCAAAGTGAAAATCCTCAAAAGAGATTTTACCAGAGTCCTTGTTCCACTCATCCTGATTATGATCTTGTTCAGCTTTTCTCTTTTCCCCAGCTCGAATCCCCTTCTGGGTCTTCTTCTGAGCCTTCTTGTCAGATTTGGACTTCCGCCGCTGCTCAATCCTCTCCTCCTCCTGGCGTGCCAAGTTGGCTTCCTTCTCGGCCGCCTGACAGATGGGGGAACATGGTAACGTTAGCCGAATGTAGCCAAACGATCCACCTGCTCACTGCGATGTATGCTCCCACCTTTGTTCGCTGTTCATTAATTCTGTTCAGCTTTGTTTCTGTTTTTTGCACCGCCACATCCCAGTCCTCCAAAGAACCTGCATTAGAGCAGAAATGACAACATCCTGGGTCTGTTTCACGACAGATAACTGTTACTTTGTATTTAATGAGACAACTGATGATTTATTGCTTTTAAAGGGATCCACAATTAGTTGTAACATTAGACTTTATTTGATGAACATATATTTTAACTATAAAATAAAGACTGTAAAAATACTGTTTTGTAAATTTTTAAAAATATAACTCAACACGGACGGAGGCTTTTATTTACACGCAAAGCATTCAGGGTAAATGATGACATGGATAAGTCCTTGGTGTGAGCGAGCTATATCCACCCTGAAGGTTAATCTTGGACAATATCTGACGATCGACTCTTTTAAATGAAACCAGAGAGCGTTGACAGAGAGGAGAAGGTAGAAATGACAGCCTGTAACTGAAAATATGGATGGAGGACAACAGAGCTGCTTCATGGAAGAAGAACCTCAGCTTAGCCTGTTAGCTTTAGTGCTAGTGCCGACGCTATATTGCCTTGGATTAGCTCAATGCTAACAAGTTAAACTGAGGTCCTCCATCCATATTTTCAGTTGCAGGTGGAGTCATTTTTGTGTTCCCCTCTGTCATGTGGATGGAGGACCTCAGTAACGAGAGGAGAATGTGTAGTGCTGAGCTAATACATATATATGGTGATAGCATCGGGGCTAATGCTGAAGCTAACAGGCTAAGCTGAGGTTCTTCTTCCATGAAGCAGCTCTGTTGTCCTCCATCCATATTTTCAGTTACAGGCTGTCATTTCTACCTTCTCCTCTCTGTCAACGCTCTCTGGTTTCATTTAAAAAAGACGATCATCAGATATTGTCCAAGATTAACCTTCAGGGTGGATATAGCTCGCTAGCAGCCTCACACCGATAACCTATCCACGTCATCATTTACCCAGAATGCTTTGTGTGTAAATAAAATGGCCCCATCCGTGTAATATATTTTTAAACTTTTATTTAAAAATTATCATTATTTTTACAGTCTTTATTTTACAGTTAAAATATATGTTTATTAAACAAAGTCTAATGTTACAAATAATCATGGATCCCTTTAAAGTCTAATTCAAGCAACAAATGAAAAAATTATAGTGATTATGGAGAAAATAGCTTAATTTTCATTAAAAAAACATCCACTTTATTTCAGGTATTACACTCATAAATCGACCAAGTATGAATTGAAACATTGTTTAAAATGTGAGTCCTGTTCCAGAATACAAATGCACAAAACAAAAAATAGCTGCTTGCTCTTTTTGTTTTCTAGGACAGCACTCACCTTCTACCCTCTCAAAGGTCAGCAGGACTTCACAGACGTGTTCTGGGTAGTCTGAGGTGCACTGCACAGCTCGGTGAAGAGCCTTTCTGCAGTGAACAGTGTCTCCATAAGCCCTATAGATTAAAAAAATAAAAGAACGAACTCAAAGATCGCATCATCTCAGATTGTATACTTTCCACTCTGACGGACAAACAAACCTTTCCAAGTTGTAGTATTCCAACCACATGTTGGCATATTTGGCGTTCCCTTTGGTCATGATGTTATCCCACAGTTCTCTGGCTTTTTGCATGTTCTTGCAGTGGCGGGCCTGATAGCAAAATAACAGTGAAAATGGAACTTTTTAAATGCATAAACACACGATAATAAGCTTTTCTGTCTTTTTCACTAAACCTATGAAAACATTACATTTATAATGTTAATCCAACTAAATAGGATGCTCAGATTTTGATTTCTGGCTTTCAAGTTGTGAAAGCGGCGGAAGTAAATTTTGTCACGTCGGTCCTTAATTTGTTTTTCTGTTTTAAATGCTTTCCATAATTCAACGCTGGTAACTCTGCCTACCTCTATCCTTGCCCAAATCTGCATGATGACACAAGAGGGATCTCCACTTTCACCAAACCCTGCAGTTACACAACATGATAACATGAAAACCAAACCGAGAGCAAAACCAAAGCTAACGAAGAGGGGCTGACCCACTTTCTTCGACGTCTTGTTTCATGTAGTCCAGAGACCGAGAGAAAGCTGCTCGCAACTCTTCTAACTCTTTACTTGATTCTGGACAAAAAAAAAAGAAAGAAAAGCAACACATTCAACTGAAAAAATGTTTTTATAAAACAAAAGACGCTGTTTTTCCAACACAAGCTGTTCTCACCTTTACTGAAATCCACACGTCTCCTCAGGTAGTCGAGGAAAGCCTGCCAGATTTCTACATAATCCGTCGCTTGAATAAAGCCTGCATTCAACGCCTTCTCAAAAACATCTGTGCAGAAGAGTTGAAGATCAAATAAAGTCCATTATATGAGGATAACATGAGTCTATAAATAAAACACCAATATAAAAGATTAGTAACCACAGTAAAAACTTCAGTATTATTTACCACAAAGAAAACTAAACACTCCCGGTAGTTTAAAAAAGATGAAAATATCTGCAGAGCTGAGAAACTTGATGCTGCGCTCCAGCTGTTACCTGACACAGTGTGATGGTCAGCTCCGTGTCTCTCCAGAGCCAGCAGGTAGCCCTTCCACAGACTCATGGTCCAGGGACAGTTCCTGACAGCTCGCTCATGAGTGGACAGAACCAAGTCTTTGACCTTCAGCTGACGGTCCTGCAGAACCAAGAGAGAGGGATAGTTAAAATGTTTGGTGAAGATGTCGCGTTTCAGATGCTGAGTTAGAGAAATCAGACTAGGAAGCAACTAACAAGGTTCCTACAGTTTAAGGAAAGTTAATTTTAAGACTTTTTAATGCCAAGTGAAATTAAATTTAAGACTAATTTTACAATAAAAAATGAGAAAAAAATAAAAACTGTCAGAAACTCTTGAATCAAAGTATTTTTGGTTGAAGTATTAAAATATTGATAATAGACCAATTGTTTTTATCCAGATCTAACTATAGCAGAAACGTTCTTAGCAGTCAGTTTTAAACTTAATTTAATTTCAGGAAATCCTCTAACAACCCAAAATTTGGAGTTTTAGGACCCACAGTGGGGTCTTAACCCCAATTTGCTGTAGATGAAACCTTGAAGTGCCTGTGACATCTAATTTTTGTAAGAAATATTAATGCATTTTTGGAAAGACAACATTATTAACATATTATGAAACAAATTTCACAACGCTCAGATGGACGGCTGTTGAGATATTTGCATGTGAAGCAACAGGAAGTGATGTCAAAGAGGAACGTCTGCATGTGAATGTTTAAAAAAATAAATGTTACCAATTATTTTAATATTTGAGATGAATTACAGTCATCCTATTTACAATATGTTAACATTTTTAAGACTTCAGAAAGATTAATTTAAGACATTTTAAGGCTAATTAAGGTCTTGTTTTTGGACTGATGAATTCAAGGCCTTTTTAAGACTTTTTAAGGATCTGCAGGAACCCTGAACTCAACTCTAGAAACCTCAAGTTTAAGTTGTTCTGAGAGAGCAGCCCAACACTGGCCGATACTCACAAGATACGTGGTGTATTTGGTCCACATGTCTGGTACCAGGCAGTTCTCCGCCAGGGCCCGCTCAAAGGTTATCTGGATCCGTGCTGGGTCACCCTCTTTTAGTTCAAAGTCGATGTAGGCCTGATATTCTGCCAGCTTAGGCGGTTCTGATACTAGCTGCACAACGATAAACACAGAAAGAAGTGACGCACTGCAACATCTTTGATAAAAATATTTAGATTGTGAAGTCAAATAAAAATATGTAACTAATTTAGTTACCAGAGCTTCTTCACAAAATTTGCACTTTTCCATCTGCTGCAGAGCCTTTCTATACTGATGTGTAACAGTTTCAGGGACCCCGTTTTCAGACCACTCCTCGTATTCGGCATAGGTGGCTTCCATGTCTGCAGAACCACAAAGCTCAATTATCTTATAATATAACACCCTTTATTCTTTTTTACATATTAGTAAATTAGTTATGTATTAATGCAATGTGAGTCCCATACTTTAAAACAAAAAACGGGATAAGATTTAAGGCTGGATACTTGGCTGAGCTAGAAAAACATCCAGAGTATTAAACTATTTCCAGTTCAAACCTATAAACAAGATGAAAGCGTGGTCAGACTGGTGTTTCTGAAGGCGCAGCACAGCCCTTGCTGATTGTCCCAAGTGGCTGCATCATCTCAATTATTCATTTTTAAATGGGATTATTCAGGAAGGCCACGACGCACAACCCTCACAATGAGACTGTGGCCCGTTCTTCCACAGCCGATCTGGACAGAAGAGCTGGCGCGCTCACCGATTAGAGGAACAGCCAGCTGGCGGCGGAACAGCGTGTGGATCCGCTCRAGCTGACGGCTGAGCAGCTCCTGCTCCTCGCGGCTGGGAATCCTGGCAGGAGGCGGCTGAGACCAGCAGAGAGATTTATGGTGAAATTTTGACACGTTTTGTTCAAAATCAAGACAATACTGTCTCGCATTTAGATTTACTCTGAATTATAACAGCCATTCAAATAAACGCTCCGACACAGTCTCATATGATGTTTATGTAGTTTTCCAACCGATGGAAACACAAACCTGCACTGTGGACAAAATTGCGTTCTCAAACTCTCTGTAAGCCTCCCACAGCATATGTCCCTTGGTCATGTGCAGTCCCACAGCTGTTACCGCTCTCTCAAAGATGGCCCTCACCTTGTCCATCCCACCTGGAGACCCCATGCCACCAATGGAGTACTGGGCATATTCAAGCCAAATGTCTGGACCTGTGTACAAAAAAGGAACAGACATTAGGACCATGAAATACTTGGAATATTAGAACAAACGTCATTTTAACCAGGAGGTGGACTCACAGATATAGTCTTTCACAGCTCGCTCAAAGAGCTCATACACTTTCTCTCTGTTTGAATCCTCCTCGGTCAGCCGAATCTCATCTTTGAGCCAGTCCAGCCAGATCTCTGCAAGATTAAGTAAAAATGTAAGCTCCAAATACCTGAAACACCTGAACTGCTTTAGTCATGAACCGACCTTCAGTGAGAGGGAAGAGCTCGCTCATCTTCTGCCTCGCCTTTCGTAGACGCAGAAGTTCTCCCTCCTGCTTCAGAAGTTTGATGAGATCCACGTGGCAGTTGTAGTCAAACGCATTGATCGAGAGCTGCAAAAATACACAGAGTTGATTTGGTATAATATGTAAAGGCATAAAACTACGTGCATTCCAATTACCTCACTTTTCCCCTAAACTCTCACTTATTGGATGAGTCTACTTTTAAACAATAAGGAAATCATTTAAGTGTTTATCTGCCTATTTCGTTAATTTAAGGGTTAAGCAACATTTTGATATACATAGCAAACGCCAACAAACAGCCATGAAGATACGTCATAAAATACATCAATTATTACAATTACTTTACTTCACATAATCCAGTCATCCACTGGTTGTTGCAACTAAAATAAACCTGGACCTAATCTGAAACTGATGCATTTGTAACGTTATAAGATGTGATCCAACACGTTTATCAGAGATTAAAACACATTTAGGACGTGTGCACTTTTAACTTTTCCACTTAAAGCTGCGTTTCCACGTCAACTTGAACAGGTAGTGAAAAGGCGCGTGACAATCCAGACAAGCAGCTAGCATCAGAGATTAGCATAAGCTAATCACGACATGTGAACAGTGTCATACGCGTCCGCTTGAATATTTAAACACTCACTAAATACTATCCATGCTGTTTTTACTCTAACCAGCTTTTTGGCCGAGGTGCACGTCGTTTTAAAGCGGATGACTTTCTGCGTCCATTCATTCTCACTAGTTGCTCGGCTTATGGCAGGTGAGGTTTGTTGACGAATTAATATACCTGCTCCTCCAACCGCTGGATTTCGGCTTCATTTTCTTTCTCGTCCTCCGACGAGTCGTCATCTTCGTCGTCTGAATTTTCCACACCCATTCCTTCCTCTTCTTCTTCGTCCGATTCCATCTCTCTCTCCTCCATTCCTGCTTCGTCTTCTTCCATATCTTGCAACTGCGTTTGTTCTGCGTTGCTTGGCGCCGCCATATTGGAAAGGCTGTCTGCCTGGTAACAACAACAAGCGCGAGGAGAAGYGGGTATTTGGCAAGCTGATTTATCATATAATAGTTAAACAGGCGGAAGCAAATACCACTGTTTCTATTACAGTTATTTAATATAATTTGGAATATTAAAAATAATTTAACTAGCTAAAGCCTCACAGGGAAATATTTTTCAGTTTTTTAATGCTTAATCTAAATTGGTTGAATTATGTTTAGACATCTGAAGCTGAAAATATGACCAAAATAATCGTGTTCTTTTTCTTGGATGTATGATGTTTGAGATAACCTTTATTGACTGTAGAGAGTATTTTCACATTCCTTTATTTTTTTTACTAATTAGTATTGAATTGTAGATATCTGTAATACATATTCAGTTTAGMTAATAAATGTTAAAACAGACACTTGAAAATTGTTTATTCCCATTTAAATATAAGTTGTGGAGACCTTAGAATTTTAACTTTAGTAGTAAAAATTATATACATTTTCTTTCAACATTTGGGAAAGCAACACATAGTTGCAATAAACATTACATCGGCCTTCCATATAGGTTTCACTGTTGTAAAGATAATTATTGGCCGCTAGGGGGTGTCCTTTAGTTGATAAAGTACCTTTTCACACTTTTCACCAGTTTGTCAACAAAAAAAAGAGTTCGTTGTCGCTCGGCTTCGCTCGTTAACTTCCGTCGGTGTTCAAACATGGSGACGTCCTCGTTGCGAAATTCCGTGTCTTTGCTATCATTTTTCAGCAAAAAGCTCTTCAGACCGGAGCTGACCGCTCTTTGTTCATATCACAAAAAGGTAAAGCTCAGAAATGTCTCCATTGTACACAGTTTTACACCCAACCGACATTATTTTTGTGTAAAGTTAACTCGGTTTGAAATGTGCGTCACAAGTCAAAACAACTCCTGAAACAGAATCCTAACTCGTTGTTTAACTTTCCCCGAAGGTGGTGGACCACTACGAAAACCCGAGAAACGTCGGCTCTCTGGACAAAACCTCCAAGGATGTGGGGACTGGCCTGGTGGGCGCACCAGCCTGCGGCGATGTCATGAGACTTCAGGTGAGCTGGAGGAAACAGCAGCACGGGTTACAAAACTTATAACTCCAGGTTTAACGTCCATGTTGTTTCCAGATCAAGGTGGATGAAAACGGCAAGATAATAGATGCTAAGTTCAAAACATTTGGCTGCGGATCAGCCATCGCCTCCAGCTCTTTGGCCACAGAGTGGGTGAAGGGGAAGTCGGTAGGGCTGGACAGCTGTCTCTGCTCTCTCCTCCATTTGTTTGTGCTTGAGTGATCTGATCCTTCTGCTGTCGTCCTGACCGCAGGTTGATGAAGCTCTGGAGATTAAAAACACAGACATTGCCAAAGAACTCTGCCTTCCTCCCGTCAAGCTTCATTGCTCCAGTAAGTTAAAGCAAAAAACAACGTTTTTGTTGTTTGTATTTCTAACAACTTAATGAACCCTGCAGAAATTKTACTTTTGGTGTCAWWTCAMTTTTAGATGGCTGCTACAGCTAATTAAATGTCAACACAAAGAAAGTCAAATTTACAGACATTAAGATAAAATTTGATGAACGTAAGACRATCCTAATCTAAATCTCTGGTGTAAAAGGCAACATGCGATGTGCATTTCTAAAGAAAAATATCTCTGGATCTTTTGTTTCAGTGCTCGCCGAAGACGCCATCAAAGCCGCTCTGAAGGACTACAGACTAAAACAAGACGAGGATAAAAAGCGTTGACTCGTTTAAGAGATATTTCACTGATATCTTGGTAACCAGTAACTCTCAGCTAACCAGGGCCGTGAGAAAGATGAGTCAGGGAGTTCTGGGAGCCTTAAAGAGGCTCGGGTGTTAAAGTTTTCTGTGGATTCCTTTTTAACTTCAGGTGAACTGAAAATGCTTTAAAAAAACTGCAGTTTTTTTGGAGTTCATGGGTGTATTTCTGACAACACAGCTACCTTACTATGACTGGCAGACACAGTTTATGTTTTGCAGTGATTTATTTTAACATATAAAAGAAGATTGTTGAAGACTGACTGAGTGGATAGGTTCAGGTTTTGTTTTTATAAATATTTTGGCTTTTATTTGGCTCCATTGTATGAAAATTTAATAGATACAGATACAAAAAAACATACTGTTTACACATTCTGAAATAAATGATTTAAAATGTGTTTTTTTTTCTTTGTGAGTGCTGCCGTCATCCACCAGATTGCTCGTTAGCCGGAGCCACCCTCTGCTGCCGGACGAGTACTTTTTTCAGCAGAACTAGCACCGCCAGCATCACGAGAGCTAAAAGCGCACAGACTAGGGCGAGCAGGGAGACGACGACGGCAGAGTCCCTCTGGGTGAGCGCCTGTGGGGTAGAGAGGACTTCCTTCCTCYTGGTGGACAGCCAGGCTGCTGTTCCTGCAGCTGAGGCTGGAGCACTCGGAGCTGTGGTGTTTTCTCTGCACCTCTGCTCCTCCTCGGGCAGAGAAGTWGTTTTCGTGTGGGCCGAGCTGATTGTTTGGCTCGTGTTCAGGGACAAGCACTCGTCGTAGGTGAGGGTCTCTAAAGAGTAGGGCGAAACCCGAGGCTCCGGAGGACCCTGAACCTGTCTGGAACCTCTTTTGTTTTCCTCCTTGGCTCGTTCCACCTGCTTCTCTGTCGCTGATTGGAGGCGGTGCGTCCTCTCTTGTGGCTGCAGGACGCGTGGACAGATGGACATGACGGACAGGTCCAGCAGCAGGCGGTGAGCCAGGTGCAGCGGCTCCTTGCACACCAGGTCCGTGGCCATCCTCAGCCTGCCGCTCAGCAGCCAGCGGTACAGGTACAGGATGTTGCACTCGCACACCCACAGGTTGTCGGTCAGACCCACGGACCTGAGGCGAGGCAGGCCGTCGAAGGCGTCCTCCGGGACGGTCCGCAGGCAGTTGCTGTTGACCTGCAGCGCCTGCAGGTTGACCAGCGTGGACAGCGAGGGCGGGTCCAGGGAGGAGATGCAGTTGGCCGACAGGTCCAGGCGCGTCAGCGACGGGGGGAGATTCCGAGGGAGGCTGGTCAGCCTGTTCCCCTTCAGCGTGAGGACCTGCAGCTTGCCCAGCCCCAGCAGCGCACCGGGCTGGACCACGGAGATGCGGTTGTCCTCCAGGTCCAGGCGCGTCAGGTTCCTCAGCTGCCTCAGTGCGCCCGAGCTGATGTAGGTGATGCGGTTCTCCTGCAGCAGCAGGGACTCCAGGCTCGGTGGGAGGCCGCGGGGGAGGCGGGGCAGCAGGTTGTGGCTGAGGCTGAGCTCCTGCAGGCCGGAGAAGGGGCCGAGCAGGTGGTCCACGTCGCAGAGCTGGTTCCGGGCCACGGACAGGACAGAGGTGCTGAGGGGGACGGAGCGGGGGAGCGACCGCAGGCCCAGAGACTCGCACAGGACCAAGAACCCTGGGCGGGCACAGCAGCAGCCGGGGGGGCAGGGAGACATCATGGTGAGACAGGTGAGGGGACAGATGTAGAGAGCGAGGAGGACGTCACATCTGGACCAACGCATGGCTCACTGTGGAGGAGGGAGGAACACGTGAGAGGAAACTAGTTACTTCATTCTCATTCAAAAAGCTTTCCCCTAAAAATGGTCAGATAGTCGTTTTTCTTTAGGCTGCTCCCTTCTGTAGGGGCCGGCACAGTGAGCAAACTCACAGTCCCTGTGTGAGGGGCGGGGCGACACACTGGACAGGTCGCAAGTCCGTCACAGAGTCACATAGAGACAAAAGAGAATTCACTCACAACTACACTGCAAAAAATGTCCACCTAACCAAGTTTTAAAATCTTATATCCATCCAAAAAGTCTTTTTGATCTTGTTTTGTGACTGATTTCTGAAAATTTGACTCAAATTAAGTCAAAAATGTCTGTTAACGCAGTAAGAAAATTTTACTTGATAAGATTCTTGAAATACTTGATTTGACTGTTTTTTCTTATTTCAAGAATCTTACCAAGTAAAATTTTCTTACTCCATTGGCAGAAATTTTTGACTTAATCTGAGTCAAATTTACAGACTAACATGACAAATAATCTTACACATTCTGAAAACAAGATTATTATTCTTGTTCTTGTTTAGTAAATCAGTCTCAAAACAAGATCAAAAAGACATTTTGGCTGGATATAAGATTTTAAAACTTGGTTAGGTGGACATATTTTGCAGTGTAGAGACACTTTAGAGTTCCCAGCTAACCAAACATTCATGTTTCTGGTCTGTGGGAGGAAACAAGTACAGGAGAAAACCCATGCATGCACGGAGAGAACACGCAAAACTCTTCTGGGATTTGATCCGGCAACCTTCTCGCTAGGAGGCAACAGCTGTACCAAATGAGCCGCGGTGCTGTCAGAAAAAATAACGAAAGACTAAAAATGAACTGAACTGTTGATTGAGAGTCTGGAAGCAAAACATAAAGAGTAAAGAGATTTAAGACTTTTGCACAGTAAATATCGACTCATTTGCACAAAATAAGGTTTGACAACAGTTCAGTCTCTTTATCTTGGTTATTTTAATCAATATGCATTTTTTTAACTTTCAGTTTTACAATGAATTCAGACAATATCAAATTGTATTAAAACATTTAAAACCAGATCATCAGTTGCTAAATACAAATTCCCTTTTTTAAATTGTGAACCTGGCAACCTTGAAGCTGAACATTTATAAACCCGTGATCATCATGGAGGCTGAACTTACCATTCTCCTGCTGTGGGATTCTCTGCTCCTCCAAACAGTCCAGCAGGTCCCCGCTTCTCCAACAACTCCCCGTCTCTAAAGATAAACCACCGCTGTTCAGAATTTCAGGCTGATGCTCATCAAAGTTTAATGATTTGCCTTAAGGTGCCCTGTTACCTTCTCCAGATCCTCTTCACCTTCACAGAGAGCTCYTATTGTTGGTCAGAGGCAGACCCAGAGGAACTACTCACCACCCAAACAGGAGGTCACTAAAGGTCGGGTTTTAAATAACAAAAATCAAACGTTTTAGAGTTTGATCTGGATGTTTGTGAGAGGTTCCAGTTTGTGTGTCTTTCCTCTCACCTGATGGGAGGAGTRAAAGTGAATGGACCGGTGACGTTCTCGAATTATTTAGAGCTTCGCTGGCAAAAGAGCAGGGAATCTGACCCGAGGGTGAGGTTCTGTCAGGGCTCATGTTTCAGCCTGCAGAGCTGTTTGATTTGAGTTCTGTCATCTCATGTTTGATCTTTGACTCTCGGACCTGCTTCTGATTCTGATCAACTGCTGTTTGTTCTGAAAGATGCMCTGCCTGTTTTTATTCCAGCATCATTTGTTTCTTCTCTAACTCATTATAAGTCATTTAAAGATAAGTTTCATGTGTGATTTTTGTGCACCTCTTACAATAAAAATAGAAATAGAAATCAACACCAGGACTGGTCACATGGGGGCAGTATTTAATTGAAAAAAAACTTGTTTTTCTCTGTAAGATTAAAGTGATGGTTCAGGCAGTGCTGGCTCTAGCTTTTTTGGTGCCCTAGGCGAGTTGAAGCGCAACCCCCCCGCCCCCAAACTATGTCTCACCCACCCCAATTTAAAACCCTAAAAACAAGTTTGATAGTGCTATGG